GCGCGGCCACCAGGACCTGGCCGGCCAGCGGGACGAGCTGGGCCGGGGCCTGCGTGGCGTGGAGCAGAAGGTGGGTGCCAACCGCCCCGCCGTCCCGGACCCCTTTGTTCACGGCCGGGCCGGACGCGCCCGGGTGGCAGGCCGGCGGGGAGGGGCCGGGCCTGTCGCGGCCGAGCGGTGCCCTGCGAGGAGCCAGTCCGCCCAGGACCCCCTCCCTCCGGATGGAGCGGACAGGGGGAGGGAGGGGAGTCTGGGCCGCGTCTCAGCCTGCGCCCGAGCGGGGAGCCGGGACCGAGGTCTTTGCAGAGACGAGATGAAGTTCTGGCAGGCGTGAGGCCTGGTCCTGCCCTGGGCCGGTGGCCCGTGTGGGCCTGCGGAGGAGCCAGCCCATTGCACTGTGGAGGAAGGAAAGGCCAGGGACGTGCTTTAGACCATTGTGCGGGCTGATCCTCAGAGCACCCTGGGGGAGAGGCCGGAGGGGGACCAGAAACTGAGGTTTAGAGAGAGCAGGTAAACTGAGGAAGCCCTAGCCAGGGACGGCTGGGTTGCACTAGCAGTTCAGGGCCCTGCCCAGTGGAGGGTCCCCGAGGCCTGCTTCAGGTATGGATGAACCCAGCTCGGGGCCGCCTCGTTACGTGGTTTTTCGAGATCTAAGCGCAGCCTGTCCCCTCCACCCTGCATGCGTGTCATTGCACAAGGAAAGTTGATTGTGAGACGGAAACAAAAAATCCCGCCACTTCGGATCCCGGAACCGCTGCCTTCTTTTCCCAGCAGGCCTCCCAGCCTGCCAAGTCCCGGCTTTGTGGAGTGTGCAGGAGCAGGACTGCCTGCGAATCGCCTCAGGTCGAGGGAGGGGACTCTGGCGGGGCAGAAGTAGGCTTTGCTGTTTTGCCTGTTCTGGATGTCAGATCATCCTCAAAACCCTGCCACCCACCGCAGTCAGAGCACCAGCCTGCTTCCTGCCTTTCCTCCACCTCCTTGCGATCAGTCATAATATTTACTGAAGTCTGGTAGTCGCATGGCTGCGCCGTGGCCCACGGAGGGCGGGGAGGAGCTGGAGCCGCAGTGGAGCTTGTGGGAGCACCTACATGGGTGGGGAAGGGGGAGGGCGTGGACTCCCAGTGTCTGGGGGGCTGGGGCAGGGCCCCCCCCCCGCTGGTGATCGAGGAGGGGGAATGTGGACCACAGGCGGGACCCGAAAGTGGCAGTTATGTCCAGGAAATGCCAGGGGAAGTGGGAAGTTGAGGCCCACAGGGAGGGCGTCTTGAATCCAGGTTGACAGGATTGGGAAATGAGCCCTGCGTGTCCTTCCTTCCTCTGCCTTAGTCCCTCCTCCGGCACAGATAGGTGCTGATCACTTTCCTCTTTGGGCCTCAGTTTCCCTCCCGAGGTGTGAAAGGAAGGCTCCACGTAGTTGTCCAGAGGCGGTGGACATGGTGGCGACTTTCTTTGCAGGCGGTGGTGTAATCCAGCTGTTACCCATTGCCCGTGTCTTGTACTTCCTGTGTGCCAGTGCTGAGCTGTCTCTTGCCCCACAGCCCAGCTCCGAGAGGTTAGTGTAGAATTCACCCCACTGGCCCTCCAGCACAGCACAGCTAGGGAGCAGGAGGGCGAGGATTCAAAGTGCAGTTTAACTCCTGGAAGCCTCATCACCATGTGGCTGCTGATTTCATTATCTTCCTCCAACGCAGCAGGTGCTCAGTAAACACTTGCTCCACTGACTTGGAACCCAGTGCAAGCAACAGTATGAGGCCGCTCTGCCTGCGTCTCCGAGGTGGCCAGAAGGGAATTATCTTGCACCGGGGAAGCGGTCGTGGTTGATTCTCTGAGGTTCTCCGGGCCACTCTGAGGCGGGCAGCACTTCTAGCACTGTGGCATGGACAGGGAAGCTGAGTCAGGACCCCTGGAGTTGGTGCCCTCATGGCTCTGCTGTTAGCGCTCTCCGTGTGGGAGGGCAGCCTGGGCACAAGGGAGTCCAGGGCTTGGGAAGATGGGTGCAGCTCGCTCGGGGCCCCGTGTGGCCCTGGCAGACCCAGGGTGACAAGAAGGGGTTGCAGGGGGCTCAGGCGGGCATCGTGGCTTAACAGGGGAGGAGTCTGTCTCCAGTTGTCTTTGTTTCCTGCCTGGACCCTGCCTGGAGTCAGGACTCTGGTGTCGACAGCTCCTCTCCCGGCACCCAGTGCACTGAGCTCACCTGCATTTCTGCCTGAGCCATCTCAGAACGGCTTGAGCTCAGGTTCTGCAATCAGATGGTCTGGGATTGTGATGCCTGGCCCTGACACAGTGTTTTGATAGCTCCTGGTGCACAGTGAGTGTCCGGGTCCTGGTCAGCCAGCGATGGCACCCTGTCCTCCACCCAGCCCGCCCCTCCCCAGGGAGCTCCTGGAGGGAGGGAGGGACCCTGTTCCAGCCTTTGTTGTGCCTTCCCCAGCCTCCACCCCGGGGCTTTACGGGTGCTGGGAGGACACACAGATCCAGTGCTTGTCGTCAGCACATAAAGATGGATACTCACCACCCTCTCAGACGGGACACTGGTCTTTTATAGTGCGGGGCTTTGTCCCTAATTTCTCATCAAATCCCTTTTGTAAGAGCTGCCTCAGGCTAGAGGTGACAGCCAGGGATGACAGTCTTCCTTCGCTTCTCTCAGGGGGCACCACATGTACACCTGTGTGTAACTGGCAGGGGCCGTGAGGGAATCGCGCATTTCCAGACATGCTCTCTGCACCTTCTCCCTGAGTCCTGCGACTCAGGCTGTCCGGTCAGGCAGGGACCTTGTCTCCTGTCCTGGAGCCCTGAGACCCACACTCTCCTCCCATAAAGTCACTGATGGAGCCACAAGGGACGAGAGAGCCTGGCTCCTGGACAACGAGCGTGACTTCCTGGCACCTGTCCACGTCCCCTCCCCAGTGTCAGTCTGTCTGGTGCTTCGGTGTGCAGTGAGGACGGTGTAGGACCCTCCGGACACAGCAGGAAGTGTCCAGATGAGGCTCTGAGTTCTGCCTGTGGACCCTGTGCTAATCCCTTCTTTGCTTTGCAGTTCTGGGGTTTGCACCCGAGGCTTCGTGCGTGGGAGGCAAACGCTGTAACCCCGAGTCCATCCCCAGACCCCGATTCTTCAAGGATATCATTGCGTATTGGAGTCTAGAGATCCACATACTATACAAAAGAAAATCCCTCAAGTCTGTAAGGTGTAGTCGTTTCCTGTCTTTACCCCTTTGCAGTGCCAAGCAGCTGTTGAGCGTCAGTGCCCAGGGCCTGCAGTTTCCACAGTGCAAGTTGCCTGGCCACACGCTCAGGGCCCCTCTCTGCTGTTCTGGACTCGGTGGCGGGACCTAGGGGCCGGGAGGGGCAGCCCCTGCCCGCTATTCTGGTGTTGCAGCCCTGTGTGTCACCTCAGGGTGGGGCTGGGTTAGGGATCATCAGACTGCATAGCGCTGCAGCGCCCTGAACTGGCTCCCCAGGCGGTCGGGGCAGACGGTATTAGGGTGTGTAGGGTGTTCACAGAGCGGGGTGCAGGGCAGTCATCTCGCCCACAGCGCAGGGCTGCAGGTGAGTTTCAGTTTCTGCCCTGCCCGTTGGCCCGGGGCTGAAGATGGTGCTGGGATCTCCAGGTGCTGGAGGTGCTTCAAAATAAGGCTTTCTTATCATTAGGGTTTTCTTATTAAGGTTTTTAGTTTGATGGTTTTGTTTCTTAGTTCGGGCTGGCCAGGGACCCACGGGGTCCTCCTGCTGGAGCCTCCTGAGTACGGGCTCATAGGTGTGCACCACCTCCCCTGCTCGCATCCGCCTTAGCCCCTGGCCATCCTGGGCTGGGTTTAGTGGATGAAAGTGCTGATTGGCCGGGCCCTTCGGTGCCTGATGGGGTCCGGGGTCCGATAGTTCGTCCCTGCCAGTCGAGTGGCCTTGTGTGGAAGGAGGGTTCCCTAGAAAGAGCTATAGCTCATTCTGGAGGCTGGGCAGATGGAAACACAGAAAGCAGCGGTGCCGCGTAACCATGCCATTGCCTCCGGCGGCTGACCTCTGCTCTTGGTTCCAGGTGCAGTCGCTGCAGGCCACGTTGGGCACGTTGGAGTCCACACTGCGCAGTGCCCAGCACAAACAGGACCTCACCGAGAAAGCCGTGAAGCAAGGGGAGAGCGAGGTGGGCCGCATCGGCGAGGTCCTGCAGAAGCTGCAGGATGAGATCCTCAAGGACCTGTCGGACGGCATCCACGTGGTGAAGGATGCCCGCGAGCGGGACTTCACTTCCCTGGAGCACACGGTGGAGGAGAGGCTGACGGAGCTCACCAAGTCCATCAACGACAACATTGCCGTCTTCACCGCTGTGCAGAAGCGGAGCCAGGAGGAGATCGACGACGTGAAGGCCTCGGTGCGGGAGATGCAGGGCTCGGCCCAGTCCCGGGGCGAGGACCTGGCGGCCTTGCGGAGCTCCCTGCAGGCCCTGGAGGCCGAGGTCTACGCCGAGGTGCGGGAGCTGGTGAGCCTCAAGCAGGAGCAGCAGGCCTTCAAGCAGGCGGCCGAGGCCGAGCGCCTGGCCCTGCAGGCGCTCACTGAGAAGCTGCAGCACTCTGAGGAGGCCTCCTCGCACCTCCCGGAGGAGGTCAGGGGGCTGCAGGAGGAGGTGCGCCAGCTCAGGGTCCAGGCTCCCCGGCCGGAGGGGGACGCTGGCTCCGGACACGCGGACGCCCTCGATGCCCTGCTGCAGAAGGGCAGGGCCCTGGACTCCAGGCTGCAGGGTGTGGAGTCGGGCATGAATGCCCTACAGGAGGCCTCCGCACGCCAGGCCGAGAGCCTGCAGTCACTGCTGTCCAGGGGCCAGGAGCACGAGGAGCGCCTGGCCGTGCTGCACGGCCACCTGCAGGGCCTGGGGCCCAAGGCGGACCGGGACGGCCTGGCCAGCACCGTGCAGAGCCTGGGCGAGGCGCAGCTGGCGCTCTACGGAGACGTGGAGGAGCTGAAGAGGAGCATGGGCGAGCTGCCCGGTGCCGTGGAGTCGTTGCAGCGTGTGCGTGAGCAGGTCACCACACTGCTCCAGGAGGACCCGGCCGCCCGGCCGCTGACCCCCGACCTGCTGGACAAGCTATCCTCGCTGGACAGCCTCAGGTCCTCGGTGAGCCAGGCCGAGTTGGACTTGAAGATGCTCAGGACTGCTGTGGACAGCTTGGTCGCGTACTCGGTCAAGATTGAAAGGAACGAGAACAACCTGGAATCCACCAGCGCTCTGCTTCAGGGCCTGAGGGAAGACCTGGACAGGTTGTTTGTGGAAGTCGAAAAGATTTACGAAAGGATCTAGCGAATCGTGGGTGCAGGGTGAGCATTTGCAGGCTGGTTTCTCACGACCAGGGAAGCTCCGTGTGCTCCCATGTGGGTGCCCCGCTTCTGGCACCTGGCTGTGCGGCTCTGCTGGGCTCACTTCCGCGCAGTGACCTGCACACGCCTGGTGTCCTCAGCCTCTGCGCCTCCCTGTGGTTGGTGTCCTGGAGCCTGGTGTCAGGGAGAGGCGTGGCCCAGCTGGGGATTAGCAGCAGCAGATTAACGCCGACCTCACAAACCCTGTCTGGCTGACAGATTTCAAGTTAGAAAAAAATGTGGGGGGCAGGCACTTCTTTCCTAATTGTCTTTGAGAAACGTTACTTTTACTCTGTCCATACTTCTGGCCAGTGTTTGGGGACATGTCTCTTGTTCATTGTCTTCCTCTTAGGAGTGGTTGGCGCTCCTGGGGGTCAGCGAGTGGGTGGGCTCTCCTCCGTTCTGAGTGGGTCCACCTGAGGGCCACTGCCGAGGCCCCTGTGGCCTGGGTGTCTGTCCCTCCCCAGCCCTCTGGTGCCATCCAGGGTAACTGCAGAGTGCGGCGTATGGAAGCGCAGCCCCGTCCCTGGTCCCTTCAGTCCCTGGTCGCCGAGCCGGGCCAGCGGCCGGAATCCCAGGGAGGAGAGTGGCTCTTCGGGAAGCGGCCGAGTGCTCTCCAGTCTCCGTCTCCGGATCTTGACAGCGGTGTGGGCGAAGAGGTCTGCAGCCGGAGCAGACCCCTGCGTTTCTGTAAGTGTTTCCTGCACCCCTTCCCTTCGAGCTGTGTCGTTCTTTAATGGCTGTCTTGCCCTTCCAAAAAAACCAAAAAAACAACAAAACAACAAAAGAAAACAAAAAATCTGAAAAGTAAAAGAAAGGGGGAAAATAGTTTAGTTTACTGTGAAATGAACTGTATGGCTTATTTACAATATTTTTAATTCTTAATAAACTCTTGAGCTTTGTTAAGACTTTTCCAGAGTGGTTGCTTTTGAGAATTTCATAGTTGATGTATTTCGTCAGCACCCAGCACTCAGGATTAGGGAAGAGGTAAGTTTTGAGCTCCAACTAAGGCTGTTTTTACTGCCAGTTCTGAACCACTCTGGCTGGTCCCAGGCCTGGGCTTCCTGCTAGACCCTCGGCTGATTTGTGGGCTGTTTGTCTTGAACCCCAGTTCAGCAGAGGTGCCGGCCTCCCTGCTCGGTCTTCTGGGGCCCTTGAAGGAGGAGCGTGGGCCCTGCCCACAGGGAGAGGCTGGGCATGTGGGAGCCTCCGCGGTGATGCTGACCGGACCAGGCTGCACGGCCACTGGGCCACACAGCACCTCTGCCCTGGGCCCCTCCACGCCACCTGGTGACGACTGCTCTTCATAAAACATAGCTGCGGGGGCCTCTGTCCCTCCGTGTATTGCCGAGGCAGGGCCAGGTCCCAGGAAGAGGCAGGCCCACCCTGGCTCGGGTCTTCTCTGTCCCTAGGGGGCGCCCTTCCTCCCTGGACTCTGGCTCCTGGGGCCCTAGGCCCTATCCTTAGGACTTCACAGCACAGTGTGGTGGTTTTCCAGTTTGTAAATCAGGGCGGGCCCTTCACATTGCTTCTATTTGCACTTTAAAGTCCTTTTAAATTTTTACTTCAAAATAAATAGTTTTAGTTTCCAGTCATCTGGAAGTCCAGGAGTGGGTAAGCATGCTTCCCTTGTTACTTTCACGCACGTGGAGGGTGCCCATGAGTGGAGAAAGTTAAATTTCTGGAGTCCCTAAGTGCAGGCTGGAGTGGCTTAATAGGTTGTCATTTAATATGGAAGAAGATACACATGTATCAGGTAAGTAATAAAATGCTGAAAATAAATCCCTAATGACAGGGAAGTTAAGATCCATTTAACCCTAAGTAAATTACAATTCAGTCTACTCAGGTGTCTGCTTATTTATTTGTTCAACTTTTTTTAAATCTTGAGACAGGGTCTTGCTGTGTATTCAAGCCTGGCCTTGAACCCATCGTGTAGCCCAGGGTAGCTTCAAACTCTCAGTGATCCTCCTGCTTCAGCCTCCGGACTGCCGAGATAACAGGTGTGCACCACCATGCTCGGCTCAGACCTTCTGCTGAGCACCAGTGACCTAGAGATGGCTGTGACAGGAGCCTGCCCTCAGAGGTCCTACGGTCCAGTTGTGGGTTTTGTAAATTGGCAGGTGCCGAGGAGTGACAGGTGCGGTATGCGGTAGTGGGTGGTGGTGGCACTAGCCCGTGGTGCCAGGGTTGGGCAGCACTGATCAGAACCGGTTGCAAAGGCCCATGGGTTGTGCTGTGGAATGCTTCTGTGAGTGGTGGGAACCCTCGGGAAATGTCTGGTGGTTCTGCCCTTTGGACAGAGGATAGGCACAAGTTACTGAAGAAACCGCAACAGGCGAGAAATCCCCCAGGCAGGACTACGAGCGCGGCCTTGCCACCAGTTCCCGTGTGGCCTGGGGCGAGTCACCACGAGTGGTGGTGGAGGGAGATGGTGGTCAGGGGGATGGAGATGGTTATGATGCTAACGAGAATGAACGGGACGTTTGTGAGGGTTGAATGTCACCAGACTGGGTCTGAGAGGTTCAGGAGGTGAGATGAGGAGGAACAGAGCATTTGCAGGTTGGCCGCCTCCTGCTGCAGAAATAGAATTTCCAGGTGCGTCCTCAAGAGGCCGGGGTGGGGTTCTGTAGGCAGAGGTAAAGGCTCCCAGTCGGGCGTGGAGTGTGGGCGTTCAGAGAACTGAGACCCATGGGGACCTGTGGCTGGAATGTTTATGGGGCCCTGGGGTGTCTCCAAGAGGGGTGATCGGGGTGTGTGTTCCGACGGTCCGGTCACCCATCTGGGCAGAATGCAAACAGCCACCGGAGCTTGGAGCTGAGCTCTGCCGCCCACTGATAGCGCTGCTTCCCAGAGGGTGGGGGAAGTTTGCAGGCGAGAGGCCCAGAGCCCCGGTTAGCGGCCCACCTCGTATAATACCCTTAGGAATTTTTTTGAGAGTTTCTCAGAAGGGAAAAGGGCTTGTATAACTTTTGTGTCCTGAAGCTGCAGTTTGTCTTAAAAGTACGATTTTAAAATCCTGGTTTCCTGGCCTTCTTTCTGCCTATTTTTATTTCCTCTCTCCTACCGCAGGAAGGGGCGGTCACTGGGGGGGGTGAGCTCGGGGCTCCTGCAGGGCACCGTACAGAGCCCTGCCCGTCTCCCAGGGTTGCACGCTGCTCCTGTCCCAGCATGCGTGCTGATGGGCCCCATGCTGCCCTCCGGGTCAGGATTTATTCTGCACCTGTGGGACGCTGACCCGGGTTTTGAGTGAGGCAGGGAGTGAACCATGCTTAGGCCCAGTGATCCAGTCTTATCCAGACGAGGTCTTGCTGCGTAGCCCAGGCCAGCCGCAAACTCGCACCCTCCTGTCTCAGCCTCCAGCCTGGACTGGGTGTGTGTACCGGTGTCACGCAGGCGTCAGTCTTCAGCCACGTTTCCCTAATCAAATGATACTTGAAGGTTTGCCTGCTGATGGCCCCTGCCCTCACAGAAGGCAGCTGGCTGGCCGGTGGGGAAAGCAGTTTTTGACAAAACGGCCACTCCTCTTGGTTTCCTGCCGCCCGGACCGTCACTGGGAGGGCAGGGCTGGGCTGGAGCAGATGCTCACGGGATCCAGGAAGAACGGAGAGTTGTCCTGCTCGGGCCGGCTCCCTGGGACGTGGGCATCGCCAACTGCAGTTTCTAAGAAAGTAAAGATTGAAACGGAAACGGGGTGCCCAGGGACCTGCAGCCGCTCTGCTGCCTCAGCCGCAGTGACAGCCGTCAGATGTCCGGCTTAGGCCCCTCGCTGCCTGGGCCAGCGTCCGCGAGGCCGCCCTCCAGTTCCCTGGGCTCATTTTCCTCATCCATCAGAGGTGCAGTCATCGACACCCGAGGCACAAGTTCTGAGAGCCCAAGACCCTGGGAAGCGTGTTAAACCGGCCCTGGACGCCACCCTGCTGCGCCCCAAAGACTGGGACGGCTGGGCTGGCAGGGAGCATGGGGGAATTCGCGTGGCTTTGGGCTTTGTGATTGTGCATTCCTCAGAGCCACCACGCTTGAGGAGGGGCCATCACTGCCCCCGTGGCCCTGGGCCCTGTGCGGGGCGCCTCCTCTCGCTCTCTGCGTGCCCTTGTCCCTCCCGCCTCACCTCCCTTCATCTCTTGGTCTTCTCCGTCTGCGAAAGATCTGTCTCCCTGTTTCCTATTATCTTTTATTTTTCTCTATTTAGACTTCAGATTTCTCATATGAGAGAAAAGGTGATATTTAACTTCTGTGTCTGATTTATTTCACTTTGCCTTATGGCCTCAAGGTGCATCCATTTTCTTACAGATGACTCAAGTGTATCCTTCTTCATGGCTGAGTAGCACTCCATAGCATATAAATGCCACATTTTCTTCACCCATTTATCTGCTGATGGGCATAGAAGCTGCTTCCAAGATTGAGCTATTGAGGCGTGCTGCTATAAACACGGGTGTGCATGGATCACTGGAATCTGATGACTTTAAGTCTTTGAGGAAAATGCCTACACGGAGAATGGCTGGAGAATGGAATTCCTAGTTTCATATTTCCAGGAATCCCCACACTGATCCCGTAGTGGCTGAGCTACCATACATTCCCCTGGCCATGCAGGGAGCTCCTTTTTACCCCTGCAACCTGGCCAGCATTTATTATTATTTGATCTGATGGCAGCCAAAGAATTTGTGTTTCTAGCAGGGCCAGGCCAATCTGCTGCAGCTGCCGAGGGCCACAGTTTGACAGTGGTGGAGATGGTTCCAGTGGGATCAGGGGGCTCTAAAACCCTGGCCCAGGCACATCTGTTCCTACCTGGGTGGAGGTGAGGGGCGGCAGTGATAGGCAGAGAGCCTGGAAAGAAAACGCAGAATTGTACATAGTGAGTCTGTGACGGAGGATCTGTGAAGACGTGAAATGCTGGGACCCGGCCGGCCGCTGTGCAGACGAGATTCTCCGCTAATTCTCCAACAGCAGGAACGGGACCTCCGGGCTCAGCCAGCCTGCAGGTCTGTTTCCTGTATCCGGATGCCCCGCCCACCCCACTCCCCCTGCGGTTTTTTTCTTTGCTGGTGCTGAAGATTGAACCCAGGACCTTGCACTGAGCTCTGTCCTGAGCCCTTTTTTATTTTTTGTTTTGAGACAGGGCCTTGCTAAGCCACTAAGTTGCCTAGGATGAGGCGATCCTCCCGCCTCGGCTTCCCAGAGTGCTGGGGTGACAGGTGGGGGCACCACCCACCCATCTCACTCTCTTCCAGACAGAAGTCATCCCTCTCCCTGCACCGGAGGAAGCGGAGCCTCTGCCCGCCTTGTGTGAGCCACAGCGGAGTCCCCTGGCCCCTGCTGTCCCCTCCCCACAGCCCAGGGTGGGCGCAGCCTCCTCCCCGGCCTTCTGTCCCCAGCCTGGCTCCACCCGAGGCCTCTCTCCAGCCCATCGGACCCACCTGGTCCTTCCTGCTAACCGGGAGCAGCACCCTCAGCTCCTCTCCGACCCCCGGCCTCGGTCCTCGGCTCCTGGCCGATCACCCGGGTGGGTGCCCCATCCTGTTACCTCCGCACCCGTGTGGCTCCTCCTCCTCCTCCTCCGACCCGGACCTGCGTCTCCCTGAATCTGAGCGTGGACTGAACCCCGGCGCCCGAAGCCCCAACTGGGTCCCTGCGTGCCCGCCTTGCAGTGACCGCGCCCTCCGGTGGGGCAGCATGGTGTCCACTCTTTCTCCACGGAAATGGGGCCACGCCTGGGGAACAGCAGGATCACAGCCGCATGCAGGGTCTGCCAAGGCCACACACATCCGATCCGACTGTCGCAGCAGCCCCAGCGGTGAGCGTCACCATCACCCCCAGTGTTCAGGTGGAGAAACTGAGGCACAGAGAGGTTCAGTACCTTGTCCTGGCTGGGAAGTGGTCAAGCCAAGTTCAGCACTCAACAGCCTGAG